TCACATTTATTTTATCACATGTACCGGAATTCCTTATCATTGAGTTAACAATTAAAGATAACTTTTGTAGTGTCAGGGGCTAGAAGATTGTGGGGAGAAATACAAATCCCAATATTTTCCTATTGCATACTAAAATATGGACTGTTTATTAAATGCTGTTTTAGTGTTTAGTAACAGAACAATTACACCTTGTAGAAGACAAAACGCAGCAAGTTCTAATGAAGAGAACTAAACAAAATGAGTTTAAATTGCAGCTAGGTTGTTATCTCACCCTCAAGAGCCATGTCCGTCTCCCTCAGGCACACTGTTCCAGTTCAAGTTGACAATTACACACTCTAGAGAATGAACATGCCCTATCATACAGGGAGTTTGCAGAAATGCTACTGTTGTCATTTGGATGTGAAACATTCACTTTTTACTAGTAGATATTGTGTTTTCCTTTCTTTTTATTACTTTTTTTCTCATTTGGTACAAGAGGCTTTCATTATTTTTGTTTTGGGTACAGTATTTTCTTACAACTGAGAAAAATCTGACAAAATGAGTCTTTTACTGAAACAAATTGTCACAGATAACACAGGATCTTAAGTAAGTTGGTTTGCTCATCAGTTAGACCATCAACTTTTCAGATACAAACACCTTGGATTGTGCATATGAGCAGAGAGCTGGTTCAGCCTCCAGAGCAGGAGTTTTATATAAGCTCAGATAAGTCTAGCCTGTCCAGATAAACCACTGCATTCTGAATTTGCTTGAGCTCCTGAATAGTTTTCCTGCAAGGGTTTATCACAAGAGTCTATCTCTGGTAATGAAAATGATGATTGTTTCAGGCTAAAATGACTGCAGCCTGTGATTGAGCCCTGAAAGACAGAGGAAACTGTCACTTTGAAATCCAAGAGAAACAAATCCAATAGGAGTATAACACTATGTATCTTAGAAAGAGGTGGCAGAGAATACACATTTACTTAATAAGGATTATGTACAGATATTCAGGTTACTTACATGTAAGTGAAGTTAATGGTTTTGGAGTAAAAAGCACCAGTTTTTAAATGGACACAGAAAGCAGGAAGCCTAAGAAACCTTGGAAACTCTTCTCCACCTCACCTCTGCCCATTTCCCTGTGCAAGTACATTGCAAACTCTGAACTGTGAGTGTCAGCAGATACGGAGACTATACTTCAGATAGCTTAAATGCATGGGGTTACAAGCAACAGAGCCATAGCTCTCTGTACCCAAGCCGCAGCAAAGGCCAGCTCAGTGAAGGATTCTCTGCTTCACTCTTCAAAAGTCTGCATGTCTATATGTTTTTTAAATATATATATATATATAAAAGTGTGTGTGTGTGAATGTGTGTGTACTATACTCTTCCCAGCTTTGCTAGGCTTTTTATAAGCCAATGAGTAAAAAAACACTTTGCACACCAAGAGGGGAGTCTTAATAAAGAATGGTAACATCATGATAATTAAAATTCATGAAACCTCTCAGCTGAGTGTAAGATCTGAGTTTACGTGAAGTCTCTCACTATTATTCATGCCTCTTTAGCTGAATCAGCTATGACATTTGTGGGAATTATTTTGTAAAATTGCTACTGCTCTAGATTCTGAGTCTCTATTACAAGCACAGTGCTTATAGAACCTGCCACTGATGTGGGCAGTGGTTTAAAGCCAAAATATATCCTCTCTTATTTTTCAAGACATATGTTTCCTGGAAATGTATCTTTGAATATTTTTTGTGTCATGCACCTACCAGTAATTAAAACATTTTCTGTTGTTTACATCTTATGATTGAATTGTTGTGCTAGTTGTCAGACAGGTTAAATATACAGTAGCTTCTCAGTTACACAAATCTGTCTCATTAGAAACGTTTTGAAGACTATTTCTGTCTTTTGAATGAAATTGAAATCTTTTTTAGTTTTCAGTCTGTAGTTTATAAATTCTGAGTTAGTCCAGTGTTATATTTCTCCACTCAAATAATAAATAACTAGAGAGGGAACTTTAACCATGTGTTTTTAATAAAGTATAAGGAATTAAAGATTTGTTTATCCAGTGAAAAATTTTGCCCAGGAAGACTATAACATACATACAGGTCTTGTTAATTCCTGTGCATCTCCAGAGATAGGCTGTAAAGAATAGAGAGAATTCTGTTAAGAATAAAAGCCTTTGTGACAGCCCCAAAAGCAGTAAGGAGAATTTCTGAAAGGGTTTTTCTCACATGTAAAAACAAAACAAAGCTAAATTGTGGAATATGTTTCATAATCTGGAACAGGTAGTAATAAAAGAAATGATTAATCCTTCCCATAGAAGAACAGAGATGTAGGTAAGAATAGGAAACCTCAGGTTGTTATGTAGGAAGCAAGGCTGGAAGAGGCTATAGGGCTGCTCGCAAACATCTATATTGCAGTGGATTGTGGAACGCCAGTGTTACTGCACAGTGATACTGTGACCTTACTGTTCTGGTCAACACTCATACTCCAGGGCTTCTGTCCATACTGGTTGCCATTATTATAAAAGAAGATGCAAATCCTTTTGTTCTGAACCTTTGAAAACCTAGAAGCTAGGTCATGGAAGTAGACTTTCTGAATCTGAGGGCATCTTGAAGCACCAGAGTTCAGATGAAAGAAGCATCTGGGGTCTCCCAAATTCCGCTCTTGTGCCTCCCATTCCGTGCTGCCAGAGACAATTAGTCAGGCCTGGGCTCAAATCCACTGCTGGTATGCTATCCCATTATGTAAATTATTGCCATAAAGCTGCTGAGTCTGGGCTGTACCCAGTAGAACAGGTAACACCTCTCAAACAGCTTACTGAACACCTACCTAAATGCATTTGAAATCTGCAAATACTGTGGTACAAAGACTGCAATGAGCCAGTCACCAAGGAAAAAAGAACTGCCTCTTCAAAAGTACTCACAAGGGCTTCACAAAGCAACCCAGTAAAAACTGAATTTATTGGAGTACTAATAAGAATATTTGAGACTTTTTTAGCATCTTCTTACATGTAAAAATCAAAGTGCTTAAACCAGTTTATTAGGTTTAATATCAATCTGATAAGGAATGTTATGTTGTTCCCTGTTTGACAGGGAAGACACCTAGGCACAGACCTATTTTAATAAACACCTACGGGAAGATCACGTAGCAAAGCAGGGGCAAATTCTGGAGGACTGTGGATTTCCCATACCTGCCAACTTCACTGCTTTTGGAAGTAGACAAATGCTTCACAAGTCAGCTATTGCTGTGGCCTTTTAGCTCTATGTCTAGGACCTCTGGACATTCAGTGGACAGAATGTTACAGGAGGTGCTCTTAACAGCTTCAGAAATAAAAAATTCTGGACGAATAGGTACCTGCTGTACCTACCGGTGCAGGCTGATTCTGTATCGCATGTGCAGTGAATCCTATATGTGGGACATACATGACCTACAGTATATGAACTGCATAGTTTATTTGCACTGTGCAAATCATATGCCTCGTATGATTTGTGCATTCTGGACAGGCTGACTTTATTGCGTGCAGATCAACTCTGCATTGCATGCAGTATGTCATTGACATTCAATAAACTCAGTTTTTCATGGATATGTCAGACTCAGCATATATGCGCTGTACAGAATATGCATATTTCTGTCCAGGAAATCCCGGACAGAGATACAGGAATCACTGCTTATTAAATTTCAAATGATGGTAGGTGTATTTTCTTATCCTTATGTCATGCCCTAAATATCACAAAAGGGGTCATTACCCTGTAGGAAAAATAAAGAGGATAATGTTTTCAGCTATGTAATGCAATGCGTATGTATAAAGTACTTTGAGCATTCAATCAGAAAAGATTATTTGAACTTTAGTATATACAGATTGTTCGCTAGGTCTAAAAGGTCTAACCAGGAGTGTTTTTCTGGTGTGTTTTCCCAGTGTTACTGTATGAAGGGTAAATTTCTTCAGAGTACAGTTTTGCTTCCCCTATATTAAACATGGTACTTGACAGACTAGGTCTGACCCCAGATCCATCTAGTCCAGTAATCTAACTGTGACAATGGCCAGAAATGCCATGGGGGACAGTGGCTGGAAAAGAGGCAAGTCAAGTATGTTGGCCTACATGGATCGCTACGGGCATGTCCAGCTGCTGTTAGAGATTGTCCGTCAGCTTATTGCACAAGAGCCAATTAACTGAGACATCAAGCAAAGCTTTACTTCAGAAGAAGCCCAACTTAATTCAGGGCATCTATTTGCACAATATACCTAAATTGTGAGTAAAGGTGCAAGGACTGACAGTTAATAAATAGGCTTAAACCCCAACTAAATACCAGTGAATTTTAATATACTGTAGACTATTTATTTAAAACAATAATTTTTAGGAAAATTAATTATATTTTTATGTGTTAGTAAAGAAGAAAACGGTTTAAGCAATGAAGCTTTATAACACAGGCCATCAGAAGACTTCCTGTACTTTTGATGGCAGTCTGAGAAAAGATCTTGTGCATTTTCCAAGGAATGTACCACATGAAGAAACACTTAACTCACCTGGGGTAACGAATCCCATTAAAATAGTAATTCTAAGCTTCCAATGTTTATGTGAATTTTTATTTCTGTTATTTTTTCCCAAGGTAGAATTCCCTTTATGCAAAGGATAAACAGTGATTCATTAATAGAAAACATAGGCATCTTATTAATACATGAAATAGTTTGAACAGGATCACAGGAATGGCAAAACCAGAACAGATTATTCGTCTATTATGTCTGGTGTTTGCCTCTGGGATGGCCTATATACTTAAAAAAAGGGGGGGAGAGGGGGGAAATAAAAGATTTTACATGGCTGGAGCAAGGAACTTTGCAGTATTACACAACAGAAAAGTTATCTCAACCCTGGCAGCCAGGAGCAGCCATTGTGTTTTCTGAAGCACAAGGAGAGATATGCCTTAACTATTTCCATAATATCCTGAAAAAAACTAGCCTACTGTACATCTTGACTATTTTTTAAGTTCCATAAAAACGTATGTTTTGGCGGTGGTAAATACCAAAGATGGGTCCCATGGAGAGGAAAAACCCTAGAGAAATTCACATTAGGAATTGGGCTGCTTCTCGATCTGCAGCGGTTAGTGTGAGCGAGCGTCAAAGCAGTGACTTCTGCACCAGCCTGGTCAGGCGAGAACGCTGTTTCAGTTAAACGGCCTCATTTTGTTGGTACCTTGCTTTGGTTTTTGAAAGCTATGACTCGGAGCACTGTCACTTAGGGGAGCTTCCCCAACAGCCCTGTGGTACCCGGTGTTTATCTTCAAACCCAGCTTCGTGAAGTCTCCGAATATCGCGAACCTCTCGTTTTTAAAAGCTTGCAAGGAGGGAGGAAAAAAAGGGGGGGG